AAATAACCGGATTGTAAATCTCCATTAAATGTCCCATACCATAATTAGTAATTGCACATTCGATTAAAGAACACAATTCCTTCAACCTCTCTATTAGTATTTCGATGAATATATTTGTGGTTACTTTATGGGTTCACGGCACAATGATTGGTTAAAAACTCTATTCCCAGTATGAATTATCTCAACCTGTCCATATCCAACTGTTGACATTTTAACAGCTCTAGATGTCATATTAAACTGTAAAAACTGAAAGCTATGGGGAAAAAAAAAATTTCGTGCATGAGAGCGTCTAGCTACGTGCTTCGCAACGGCTGAGCTGTCTGCTCGTCTCCGAGACGAGATCAGACTAGTCGACGTCGACAGAGCATCCGACGATCAAGCCTGTTGAGGATAATCTCATTCTTTTTAAGATGCTAAAAGCAGGAAATTAAACTTCAAAGTTCAAACTAACAGAGGGTATCAAAATTAAATAGTAGCGGGACTTTAGGGCCTAAAAAACATAAAAGAAAAATATTTTGAGGCACCAAACGTAGCAAAGGGTAACTTCGGGGCGTCAAAGTGAAAATAAGCCCACAATCAGCGGTTATATTAGGCCCACAAGAGTCAGCAACTGACCAACTCCGGTATATAACACAGGCCCATTTGGTACTCAAGGCCTCCTGAGATCCAGCCCACATATATAAAACGCCAAACCCCCTCTAATCACTCGCGACCATTAACTGGACCCTCGATAGACGGGGAAAAAAAACACACAGTAAGCGTACCTCTTTGCGGAGCGCTCTCGTTCTCGCCAAAACCCTAGAAAAATGTCGGGTGGTTTCTTCAGGGTGAGCGAAACCCTAACTCTCTCCTCGATCGTTTCTCGATCTCAGTAACCCTAACCTCTCGATTTCATCGGATTCGCCCCAAATTTCTCGATCGATTTGACGATCTAAATCTTTTGTTTCTGCTGATCTCAGGGCACGTCGGCGGATCAGGACACTCGGTTCTCGAACAAGCAGGCGAAGCTCCTCAAATCGCAGAAGTTCCCGCCGGAGCTCGATCATCTGGTAGGTATCTCGATCTAGTTCTAGGACTCGTAGGGTTTTTGATTGCCTCTAGGGTTAGGGTTTGTAAATTGTTGGGGGGATTGGTTGATGAGCAGGTGGATATGACGAAGGTGAAGATGGATGTGATCAGGCCGTGGATCGCGACGAGGGTGACTGAGCTCCTTGGATTTGAAGATGAAGTCCTGATTAATTTCGTTTATGGTCTT